CATGGCTCCCCGGTGGGCAAGGCCAGCCTCCCGCTCAGGAAGCAGCACCCTTGCTCAGCGGAAGGGCTGCGGGAGCCAGGGCGGCTGCTGCCCTCTGACCGGGTCCCTTCCCACCCGTTTCCCTCTCCCACCTCCCGCCGTGGTCAGCGCTCAGAGCTCTCGGCTGCTGGATGGCTCGCCCCTGACCACCGGGCACCCTCCCCACAGGCCATCCCACTGAGACCACACTGCCACGGGGACGAGGAACAGGCTCTGTGGAAAGTAGCTCCACCGGGCCATCGACCCTCCGTCCACCGGGCCATCGACCCTCCGTCCACCGGGCCATCGACCCTCCGTCCACCGGGAGGTCGTGGTGGAGGTCACGTCCCGGCCTGCCGTGAGCGAGGCCTGCCTAGGGCTTCGTGCGTCTGGGACCCACCTGGACGTGAGTGGGGCCACCCTCGGGAGAGCCTGGTCTCGTTCACAGGCCCGGAGCCCAGTCCCCGAACCTTCCGTCCCCTTGATTCTGAAAGACCCTGAAATGCTGCCCTCCGGAGCCTCTGGGACCTGCTCCCCACAACGTCCTGTTTGGCACAGATGAGCTCAAACTCCTTACAGGCTTGGACGCTCCCGTCACACACTTCAGTGCCACCAAGAAAGGCCAACGCCACCCCCAGGTTGGCGGCTCTACCTGTGACCCCGAGGTGTTCGTGTCGAGTCTGCCCGGCCCCCACAGCCAGCGAGTCAGGCAGGGGACCCCCCCGCTGGGCACCCGCGTCAGGAGGTCTGTGGCGGAGGCTGGAGCTGAATCTTAGGGCACAGCCCCCCCAGGAATGAGGACACTCCCGGAGGGGAGGGGGGAGGAAGGGTGACCCCTCTGGAAGGGGCTGGGGCACTTGGCCAGGGCTGAGCTGAGGCCACAGGGCGTCAGGGACGAGGCTGGACGTTGGCAGAGACCAGGGGCTGGCACCTCGCCCGCTGCTCTTGCGGCCCCAGCCCCACGGCAGCACCTCCTGTGTCCCCCCTGCCGGGCCTGCACCTCAGTCCAGCCCAGAGAGTGAGCCCTGAGGGGACCTGTGCTCATGGTCTGATTTTTGACAACCATCCCCTCAGCCGGGAGCCTGGAGGTGTTATGAGGGCTGTGTGCAGACACCCCATGTGCACACACACACACACACACACACGGTCACACACGTCCCCGAACCTTCCGTCCCCTTGATTCTGAAAGACCCTGAAACTGCTGCCCTCGGAGCCTCTGGGACCTGCTCCCCACAACGTCCTGTTTGGCACAGATGAGCTCAAACTCCTTACAGGCTTGGACGCTCCCGTCACACACTTCAGTGCCACCAAGAAAGGCCAACGCCACCCCCAGGTTGGCGGCTCTACCTGTGACCCCGAGGTGTTCGTGTCGAGTCTGCCCGGCCCCCACAGCCAGCGAGTCAGGCAGGGGACCCCCCCGCTGGGCACCCGCGTCAGGAGGTCTGTGGCGGAGGCTGGAGCTGAATCTTAGGGCACAGCCCCCCCAGGAATGAGGACACTCCCTCCCCTGCCTCCCCGCAGCCCCGAATGGTGAAACCGCTCTGCTGACCCCACGCTCCTGCCGTGGCCAGAGCAGCCCACAGCGCTACCGGGGAGGGGCCCAGCCAGGGCCGTCCTCCGAGCTGGGACCGGCTGCTGTCGCACGGGGAGCTCCCCCACCTGCCTTCTCCTTTCCAGCGAGGATTCTGTGTGCACCCCCCTCCCCCGCCCCCCACCTCCACAGTTCTGCCTTGGCCTCACCGTTGGCTATGAATGCTGGGGTCCAGGAAGGAGGCGAGGACTCCTGCCCACACCTCTGTGGCCCCGCCTCTTAGAGGCCCCCAAGTGAGGCCCATTCAGAGGAGACAGTGACGGGGGTGGGGCAGGTGCATCAAGCAGACACGTGGGCGGACAGGGACCATGGGGCATGCACAGAGGGAGCCGGGCACAGGAGCAGGTCTGTCCCAGAGCACCCCACAGACACGCACGCACACACGTGCGCACACGCACACGCACACTCAGGGCCAGCTCCAGGGAAGGCTGCCTCACGCCACCAGGGGGCCCCTCAGCAGAAATGACAGCCCAGAGGCCCCAGCCCAGAGAAAGCTGGGGTCAAAGAACAGAGGGGCAGGAAGAGGGGCACTGGGAAGGAGGGGGT